CCCCCCGCAGTCGGTAACTTTTCCTCCCGTGCCCACGCCGGTGCCGGTAGCGCATCCGGCCCCGCCGCCTCCGCGCCCCTCCGCGGGGCGGAGAGAGAGGAGGCGGGAGGGGAGGGGGATGCGCAGGGAGGAGGACGGGCTCCTCCTCTTCGCAGGACCCGAAAAGCTTCGGCCTCTCCCGGTTGGAACCGGCCGGCATCTGCCCGAGGCATGCGCCGTGCGCGGCCGGTGCGGGGACGGGGCGGGGGAGCCGGGGTGCCCCGGACCCCCCCCCCCATTTTCCACCACCAGCCCCCCTCTTCCTGCGAGGTTCATCCCCCGAAGGCTTCATCTGTGCCTCCCCCTGCCAGGTGACATCCCTGCGGGGTGCAGCTCTGCCTCCTCTGCAAACTTCACCTGTGCATCTTCCCCCCCCCCCCCCCCCCCCACCCCCCTGGAGTTCCGTCTGTGTCTTCTCCTCCTGCAAGGTGCGCCTGGGCATCCCCCCTGCCAGGAGGCACCTGTGCACCCACCCTTCTTTTGAGTTTAATCCTTGTAGTCCCCTACAAGGTGTACCCGTGCACCCCCCTAGGAGCTTCATCCCTGCCTCCCCCCGGGCGGTGCACCCCCCCGACAGTGGGTACAGCTGGCACCCTGCAGGATTTGCTGCCCCAGGAGCTCATGGGGTGTGTTTTGGTCCTCGGGAAGACGCACGGTGACTGGATCTTCGCTTCAAGCCAAAGCTTGATTTCACTGTGATGATTTCATTGTGGTTTCATTGCTTCACTTTTCTATGAAAAAAAAATAAAATTGTTCAGGAATGAGAGAGGGGCGAGGGGGAAGGATTAGGTAAGGGCTTGGAAAGCTTCCCACCCAGAGGAGTGGTGCCAGCACCCCGCAGGCTCGCGCTGCATCGGGCATCCCTGGTGCGAAGCTGCTCCTGGGGCGGCTGTGGGATCTGCTGGTGGTCAGAGGCTGCAGGGCTGCCAGCCCGCTCGGAGGGGCTGGCATGGCACGGCTTTGCTGGCAGCCGGCTCCAGCGCCCGCAGAGTTCCCATTGCTAACCAGCATCTTCTGCAACTGCAGCCAGAGCGAACCCCAGCTCCCAAAGCCTGCGACTGTCTGCGCCAGAGATCAAAATGTAGGGTTATAAAAGGTGGCACGGCGCAGGTACGATGGTGGCCTCACCGCTTGGTTGATGGGTTACCCGAAAGAGCAACATCTCCTGCTCAAAAGTGAAGCAGATCCCTCCATGGGGAGAGATGAGACATATGGCATCCCCGCATCCCCCCTGTCACATCTTGCCTCAGCAAGGATCAGTTGGACTCCTGCACTCGGGAGATACCTGGCAGCCCCAAATTCACCAATGCAAAGGCAAAGAGGCTGTGGATGGGGGGAAAAAAAAATACAGATCAGGGCAGTGTTTGCCTTTGAATTCTGAAAGCTTCGGGCCAAAGATAGGAGGCTGCTGTTTCAAAAAAATAATTAAAATAACGCTTAGTTTCCATATGCCTGGGTTAAGCAGGCATTTATTTTTGTTTAATCCTCTCTAGTCAGATGCGTTGTTTATTTATGAAATAATTAAAGTAATAAAAGCAACCCATTCCTTAAAAAAAAACCAACCCACTGCAGTTATGTAACAGCCAGGGGAGCTCCGGATTCCAGTCCCAGGCTATGGACCCGGGCATTTGCAGATGAGTTATCTTTAGAAAGGCACTAAATACTTGTTTACTATTTATGCTGCCACATTTGAGCATCTGATGAACAGTAATTAATATCCCCTGTTCTGCCAAGGTGAGAGGGTCCTGTCATCCTTGGCCACAGCGAGGGGACTGAGGCACAGGGGAACGCAGTGATTTATGCACCATCATGCAGTAACTCCAAGAAGACACAGGCACCGGACCAGATTTCTCGAGTCCTTCCTCGCTGTCTGAATGCCAAATTTTGCCTTTCTTATTGCAAAGCCAAGATTTCTGGCTTTCTCTGTAAAGGGGGGTGAAGGGAAGGCTGTGGAGGTGCTGCTGCAGGGTGGGGAGGAGGGATGGGGAAGGAGCAGGCAGCCGTGACTGACCGAAGCAAATGTCAGTGAAAATCAAGGGCCTTGCCGAAATCAATTGCAAAAGCCAGTCAGGTTCGCAGACGGCAGATTTGGGCCCCTGGAATAAAAAGGATATTGTTAACAGCAGCTTGCTGGCAAGGCAACTGCTCTGCCAGGAGCTTTCAGTCTTTGAGAACGCAGTTGTCATCCCAAGTCACTGAGGATTTTGCTCTTGGGTTTACTCCCGCTCCTCCAGGACCTGAGGGTAAATCTCCCACATGCCATGACCGACCGCTGAACCTCATGGATAGAACTAATTTAATTAAGATGGACAGTTTAGAGTTTGAATTTCATGCCAGTGCTCTCAGCAGCTCTCACTGCTCAGTGTAAAGAAGGAGCTTGTATAGATGTTCGATCATTGGCAGAGCCAGGAAAAAAAGATGGGATAACCAGGGCAGATTGTGTGGCTCTGGAGGCTGAGGAGGTTTGAGTATTTCAGTAAGAAACATGCTCTGCCTTCAGCAGGTCTGCTTTAGGCTGACTTTGCTTTGGATTAGTGCAGCAAACCACTGAGCCTTGGAAATGTCATTATTCATCCTTCCCAAAACTGCAGCTCTCATCTTGGGCTGGGGGGAGTCACTCCCCTTTACAGGTGGTAGGAAGCACCCAGCAGATGTACAACAGAATTACCTCTTCCCCTGCTGGGAAGCTCACACCCTGCTCTCAGTCCGAAATTTTAAGTTTTCTATCCAACACTGGGCTTTGAATGACTCAAAACATTTTCTTCCAGCTAGATTGTGCTGTAGCTCTTGAAACCATCAGACCTGTGTGTGACTGACTGCAAATGAAGCAAACACCTTGGGACGAGCAGTTACTCTTGCAGAGCATCAGTATTTAAGCAGCAGAGATTGCCAAGGCAGGTCCCCAGCAAACCTCCTCAACCCACTGCTCAGTATCTGCTGGGTAAGAAGAGAGGTGCTGCTGGCTCCGTCTTCTGCAAATCAGACCTGTGTGTGACTGCAAATGAAGCAAACACCTTGGGACGAGCAGTTACTCTTGCAGAGCATCAGTATTTAAGCAGCAGAGATTGCCAAGGCAGGTCCCCAGCAAACCTCCTCAACCCACTGCTCAGTATCTGCTGGGCAAGAAGAGAGGTGCTGCTGGCTCCGTCTTCTTCTGCAAAAGCTACAAGCAGCCACAATCCTTTGCTCGTCAGGGGCTGTATCAATCAACCTCAGCAATTAACTGGTTGACAGTAAAAACTGCCCCAGGTTATACTAATGCAGTGATTCCAGAACAGCTCATCCCAGCAGGATGAGACTGTCTGGCAGGGATGGCTCCCACCCTGTTCTTTGCAATGTCTCCATCAGCAAGTGAGGAAGGAAGGTATCCAGGTTTAAAGCTCTTGTCTACCTGCAAGTCCTCCTCCAACTTGGACCTTGGTCATTTCCACGCTTGACCCGAAATGCTCGGCGCGGGCTGAGCCCCCTCAGCAGAGCCCGGCAGCCCCTCTCCCTCCCGCTTTGCTGGGCTGGGAAAAAAAGTAAAAGCCTCTCTGTTGACTGCAGATGTGCATATGAATGTGAGGCATTTGCCTAATAAATATCTTCCTAAAGGGGGATTAATTAGCATCCCAAGATCTGCTCTGACTGCAGCAGCTCTGCAACAGCATCTCTTAGGGGCGCTTGTTTCACACTCAGAGATGTTGCTGGCCCCTTTCCGGATGCACAGACCCCCCCAAGGCTGAGGATGCACGAATCTCTTGCTCAGGAGCTGCTTCTTTACCTGCAAGTCCTCCTCCAACTTGGACCTTGGTCATTTCCACGCTTGACCCGAAATGCTCGGCGCGGGCTGAGCCCCCTCAGCAGAGCCCGGCAGGCAGCCACAATCCTTTGCTCGTCAGGGGCTGTATCAATCAACCTCAGCAATTAACTGGTTGACAGTAAAAACTGCCCCAGGTTATACTAATGCAGTGATTCCAGAACAGCTCATCCCAGCAGGATGAGACTGTCTGGCAGGGATGGCTCCCACCCTGTTCTTTGCAATGTCTCCATCAGCAAGTGAGGAAGGAAGGTATCCAGGTTTAAAGCTCTTGTCTACCTGCAAGTCCTCCTCCAACTTGGACCTTGGTCATTTCCACGCTTGACCCGAAATGCTCGGCGCGGGCTGAGCCCCCTCAGCAGAGCCCGGCAGCCCCTCTCCCTCCCGCTTTGCTGGGCTGGGAAAAAAAGTAAAAGCCTCTCTGTTGACTGCAGATGTGCATATGAATGTGAGGCATTTGCCTAATAAATATCTTCCTAAAGGGGGATTAATTAGCATCCCAAGATCTGCTCTGACTGCAGCAGCTCTGCAACAGCATCTCTTAGGGGCGCTTGTTTCACACTCAGAGATGTTGCTGGCCCCTTTCCCGATGCACAGACCCCCCCAAGGCTGAGGATGCACGAATCTCTTGCTCAGGAGCAAGTGGTGGCACCTGTGCCCTGTAAGCAGTTGGCAGTAACCACACACATCCCGGTTTCCCCAGTCCTGCCACACGCCGTGACCCATCACAGTGGCGATGCAGGCTCCCTTCTGCTGCAGCTGTCTGGGTGCCACGAATAATAAGTCACCATGAAACCCAACCTGCCAAATTATTTCCAACCTGTAAAACTCTGTGAATCGGTAACCAGGGGCCAGAGGTGGGATCTGCTGACCGATGTAGATCTCTAGCCAGGTGGACCTCAGCGCTGGAGCTGGCTGCCCTCTGCTCCAGGCACAACAAAGGGGGAAAACCAGCGTCTTCAGAGGCACGGAGCTTCCCGACCCAACGTGGACCTCCAAAATAGATTGGATGAATCATGGGCTAAAAGTGCTTGGGTTTGACTATAAAGGGAGTGCAGGGTGACTTGCTCAGCTGTGGAAGTCTCCCCAGGGGATGGCTGAAGATGAATCCCTTCCTACAACTTTTTTGTGTTGAAAGATTTTTGTGGGTTGTGAATAATATACAAATATTTCCCCAACAGTGTACATACGCACACCTGGCTTTATCTTCTTCCAAACAGGGAATTAGGAACTCGCATGCACATTTAATGTACATTAACATCAGAAACTCCACTCTAATGGCCGGAACATTGAACTCTGAGCTGTGTTTCAGACCTATCCAATGATTATTTGGAGATTTATCTAGAGCATCTCAGTGGAAA